TTCCGAAACAGACATGATAATGTATGTTGTTTTTCGTTGAAGTATGGGGTCACCAAGATAGACAAGCTATTAACAAATTCCACTCTAATTTTTGTAAATTTGTACTAGGTGTAGGTAAGCGTGTGTCCAGTAACGCAGTATTAGCAGAATGCGGTAGATATTGTATTAGTATTGACTATCAAATTAAATGTATCTGGTACTGGTGTAAACTATTATGTATGGCTACCGATAGGTACCCCAAGCAATCTTATATTCTTTTGAAAAAGCTTGATGATTGTAGCAGAATTACTTGGGCATCTTATATAAGAATGTTGTTAAACACGTGTGGATTTGGTTTTGTGTGGGTAAGCCAAGAAGTTGGTAGTGTAAATGATTTTATATTTATGTTTAAACAAAGACTTGTAGATTCTGCAAAGCAAGATATGTTTAGCAAAATAAATGAATCAACACATTTATCTTATTACAAATCATTAAAGTCATTACTGGATGTTGAATACTGTATTTCTAATGTACATCTAAAGGCATATCGCCGTTATTTATGCTTATTACGTATTCAACAATTGCCTCTCCTATGTAACGTAAGATGTCAAGATGACAGTGGGTTAAGCAAAATATGTAAAATGTGTAACCGCTATAATTTTGAAGATGAATTACATTTTGTACTTGTCTGTGATGCATATGCAAATTTAAGAAGCAAATACCTACCAGAATTTAATTGTCTATCTGTTTTAAGCAAATATCATAAGTTATTAACATGCAAAGATAAGAATTTACTTTAAATTTCATTATTTATTAAACATGCACTATCTAAAAGGAATTCTATCCAATGTTAGAAGAGACATGTATGTATATACCTATGTATATGTTTAAACCATATTGTCTATATATCATATACCACTTTGCATTTATTGTACACTGGCCAATGGCCTATAAACCGAAATAAATTCTTCTTCTGGTTGTTTTTCGGTGCATTTTAAACATCTTTGAGATATTGGTTTTCGAGGTGTCCTCCCATTTGTGAGAACTCCCAGTTGTGAGACACATTAATTAATGGTTCAGTGCACACAGGTGGTGCTTCCCCATCCCTACGATGAAAGTGGGAACATCCCTGTTGCTGAAGAGTACCCGCAGGAGGCATAGTTCATTAATGAGATAATTAACACAGAAGACATTGTTCGTTGAAGAGCATTTATTGTTTTCAGTAGATACTGAAATACTGAAAAAGATTATCGTGAACTGGTGATATATTCTACTTGTTGAAGGCCTGCCATTTGTGATCGGAAAGAGCAGTCAAAGGTTAATAAATACATTTGGATTTATTATAGTTTTAAAGCCATTTATCTGAGTAGGTTAATTACTTTATCTTTTAGAGTTTCATTAAGTTACCTCCACAAGATTCAGTTAAATAGCCAATCCATAATTAGCTGGGGTTAATCCATTCTATCAGATAGGGGAGTAAGGTGTGTTTTCTTTGCTTATTACCTACTCCACTGTCTCACAACTGGGAGTCTCACAACTGGGAGTTCTCACAAATGGGAGTAGACCGTTTACGATGTGTAGACATCGCCATAATTTTAACTCTTTAGTGCGTCTTCGTATTAATATTGATGATGTACATGGAACAGAAGATAGTCTTGAATGCTCAGGCTGGCTCAATTGTTGGCTTCAAATCCAATGATATCATCGGTGCTAGCTTTTGTGTCGAACTTGTCAAAGACAACAGGGTTGTTTCAAAGGTAGGCTGTTTTGGTCGATGCACTTCACTGCATCAAAAGTCCGTTGATCGATGTGTGGTAGCCTAGACTTCAAAACCATCAACAACATTAATCTGTTGACCTGCATGAAGATTAGATCACTGAGGTATCCAGATCTTTAGACCACTGAGGTATTCCCACCTAAGACCACTGAGTAGCCCACATTTTAATTCACTGAATAGAATTCATATTTGACCACTGTGCTACTACAATAAGGTAAGACAACTCACTTACCCACACATAAATGTATTGTAATTAGCCAGTAATTTTAATTTGGAAGAATGAATACATAACTACAAAGATGGTTACTGGCTGTCCGCCGCCATATAGCTGGAATATTGCTGAGAGCGGCTAAAACTAAACTCACTCGCTCAATGTTAGTGGCTGTATCTTCCAAGGTGGTTGAAGTTGCCTTAAATAATTGTGCCCCTGAGAGGGTACGTAAGTCCCTTTTCTTACAAAGTATTTTTCTTTCTCTGAATTTTAATAACATCATATCAGTTCTTTTAATGTATGGCTAATCTGCTAAACAATCATCAACACCTGAAGGTAAGATGTAAATCCAGCTGGGGTGCATGCAGGTAGCAAAAGTAATGTTAGTCCCCATGGTCCCCAGTATGGTGATCAACCTTCAGTTGCTAGTGATCCATAGCCCGTTTTTATATTGTATTGTTCTCTATAATAATATCGTTTAATGATTACATGCTAGTTTTACCTTATCTGTGATACTCTAGTATTTTCACTGTACATTGTCAACATTGGTCTCGTCACGGTATGGCTGAAATATTGCCGATGTGACGATAAATATTAACTCTCACACTCATTTGAGCTCTGAGGTGCCTGCACCATAGATCACTTTACCACCAGCGCCCTGTTCTACTTAGATAGCTGTTACCATAGATCAATTCAGCACCCTATAGTACTGAGGTACCCGTTGCCATAGATCACTTTACCACCAGCACCCTAAAATACTGAGATACCTGTTACCATAGATCACTTTACTAACATCACCCTATACTACTGAGATACCTGTTACCATAGATCACTTTACTAACATCACCCTATACTACTGAGATACCTGTTACCATAGATCACTTTACTAACAGCAACCTATACTACTGAGATCTTTTTACCATAGATCACTTTACTAACATCACCCTATACTACTGAGATACCTGTTACCATAGATCACTTTACTAACATCACCCTATACTACTGAGATACCTGTTACCATAGATCACTTTACTAACATCACCCTATATTACTGAGATCCCTGTTGCCATAGATCACTTTACTAACATCACCCTATACTACTGACATACCTGTTACCATAGATCACTTTACTAACATCACCTATACTACTGAGATCCATGTTACCATAGATCACTTTACTAACAGCACCCCATACTACTGAGATACCTGTTACCATATATCACTTTACTAACATCACCCTATATTACTGAGATCCCTGTTACCATAGATCACTTTACTAACAACACCTATACTACTGAGATCCCTGTTACCATTGATCACTTTACTAACATCACCCCATACTACTTAGATCCCTGTTGCGATAGATCACTTTACCACCAGCACCTATACTACTGAGATACCTGTTACCATAGATCACTTTACTAACATCACCTATACTACTGAGATCCCTGTTACCATAGATTACTTTACTAACAGCACCCTATACTACTGAAATACCTGTTACCATAGATCACTTTACTAACATCACCCTATATCACTGAGATCCCTGTTACCATAGATCAATTTACTAACATCACCCTATATTACTGAGATCCCTGTTACCATAGATCACTTTACTAACAGCACCCTATATTACTAAGATCCCTCTTACCATAGATCACTTTACTAACATCAGATCCCCTATACTACTGACATACCTGTTACCATAGATCACTTTACTAACATCACCTATACTACTGAGATCCCTGTTACCATAGATCACTTTACTAACATCATCTATACTACTGAGATCCCTGTTACCCTAGATCACCTTACTAACAGCACCCTATACTGACTGACTGACTGACTGAGTTTAGTTTTACGCCGCTTTTAGCAATATTCCAGCAATATCACGGCGGGTCACCCTATACTACTGAGATCCCTGTTACCATAGATCACTTTACCATCAGCACCCTATACTACTGAGATACCTGTTACTATAGATAACTTTACTAACAGCACCTATACTACTGAGATCCCTGTTACCATAGATCACTTTACCATCAGCACCCTATACTACTGAGATACATGTTACTATAGATAACTTTACTAACATCATCTATACTACTGAGATCCCTGTTACCATAGATCACTTTACCATCAGCACCCTATATTACTGAGATCCCTGCACCTTAGATTACATCACCACCATTTCCCTGTACTACTATGGTAACTGTGCCTTTGTCCAGACAGCTACCAGCACCATAGATCAAAGAGCTACCCATACCTGAGATGAATTAGTTACATTAGATCGGTGACCTACCCACACGTTAATACCACAGACTTACACGCACCTTCGAGGATGAGATGCACTCCACTGTATCTAAGCTTGATCGATGCTCGTGAGAGCCCTGACTGTAAAACTTACTTAATCCACTGTAGCTGTGTATGTAGCTTTAATCACTGAGCAACCCGTACCTTAGACCACTGACCTTCTCGCATCATAAACCACTGGGTTGCCTGTGCTTTAAATCGCTAAGGTAAATGCACATTCAACAATTAAATCACTCACACACAGAATTACCCGCATGGCAGACCACTCGGATTCCGAACCTTAGAAACAAGAGTCACCCTTCCCTTTGATCAGTGAGCCACCTTCGTACAACAAAGCGCTACAAATACCACAGAACATTGAGTTATCCACAACTTGGTCCAACCAATTTAAGAATTGAATGTCATTTTGTGTGTTTGCACTGAAAAATGAACGATGTCAAAGCGTTGTTCCAACTCGTGTCAGACAGATTTTTGCAAAACTGTGCTCAGTTGGTGCTTTTTGTTATGTACAAAAACAAGTAAGTGATATGTATAAATTAAAAGGAGTGTGAATGCAAATGATTTATTTTGTTTACGTCAAGCTGGACAGCGAGTATCCTGGGGAAAACACGTAAAGTAGTTCCGGCAAAAGTTCACATGACCCAGATCGGCTCGAAAACGTTCACACACGTATGAACGATATTTACACACGTATGAACGATTTGAAGGGTTAAAGGGAAATGAACCTTGAAATGTTGATCACATGACCGCTCTCTCAACCAACCAACGTTCGGGAACCTGTGTAAACGTCAAAGTACGAAATTATATAGTTTTGACCACAGACCAACATCACTTCATATCAACTGGTCTTACTTGGTTACATTGAAAATTCGGAAGCAAAGGATATTGGAAAAATCAATTATTGTTTTCAAATTGCACACATTGTCTTAAATCATAATTGTGACAGGGTATATTGTTCACAACAAAAAATGGCGCGTCTCAATATCTGCGAAATAATGACAACAGAAACGTTTGATGACTACATTGATAGTCACATCAACCTCAATTCGTGTTTTAGCCATTTTGAAATTTGACAGAAAAGACAAATCGTTTGCAGGCAATCGCATTGAATATTCATGGAAATGTATCAATCATCATATCAGTTGCATTGTAAGTGTAAAGTACCACGATGGTAAGAGAAACCGCATTCCTTTTCTTGTGTTGATGTGAGTATTGGCGTTGATGTGGTATCTTGAAACGTTTTCGCTAGTTTCTGTTTAAATATTCAAGTATAGGATGTCGTCAATAATAAAGTGAGACTTAATACACATCTTGTCTTAACGCCTAAAATCATGTCCTCGACATGCAGCATTTAAAATAATGCAGACACGACTGAAGGTAGGCCTGTTAAGTGAAGCAATATAAGCATATGCAATAACAGACACACATGGACGTAAACATTGTCCTGGTGATAAAGTACATCATGCAGCAGATGCATGAAGAATGCCTCCCCTACCAACACACACACACACACACACACACACACACACACACACAGACACCATAAAAAGCCTCTCCCCCATGCGGTATTGTCTCATGAACACGGCACGTCGTCACTCGTTCTAAAAGTTTGCCTTCCATCATAGAAGATACCTATAGCACAACTAAATATGTGAAGTGGGCCTCCTGCCAGTCACGTCGCTGCCAACGACCTAAATCGTGTCCGTCTCAACCTCTGACGACGATTTTCCTATGTCAATAACTATCATCTGAAGCCCAACTTCCTTGCACCCTCAGTCAACTGGCCAATGATCACATACCACGATACATCGATGACGTCATTTTCGGGAATCAAAGTGCACATGTACCGGTCTTCAGTGGGCATAGAAAATCTGTGTCAGCCCATTCTCAGCCAGTGTGACATCTACCCAGTCTGTCTGCATGTTAGTTATAGGAATGAAAGTCTCACACGCTAAACGCATCATTTACATAACTTGTGTAGGTTCGGCTGGCCATTGGTTTCGTTCCGTGGACGAGTATCATCCTTGTTTGGACTGAATCAGTGAGTGAGTGAGTGAGTTAATATTTAACGTCACATCGGCAATATTTCAGCCATATCGAGACGAAAACAATTTATACAATACAAAAATGAAAACATTGTGAAGAGTTAAACCTGTAAAACAGTAAAAATACTAGAGTATCACAGATATGAACATAAAACTAGCATGTAAAACTTAAACAGTGTAATTAAAGAAGACAATACAGTATAAAACACGGGCTATAGATCGCCAGCATCTGAAGGTAGATCAGGTGAGGTGAAATTGGGTTTAACGTCGTGCTTGAGAATATTCCGCTCATATGACGATGTGCATGCGTGTGTATGTGTATGTGCGGCTGCTTGTACTAGCCCAGACTTAGCTGGTTTTATAGTGCTAGCCCACTGAGATACCATGCCGCAGTGAAGCATGAATACCCCACTCAGACACATTATACTGACTCCGAGCCGACCAGTCCTTGTTGTACCCATTAATGCCGAGAATCTATACCGATACGTCGCCATTGTCAAAATAAAGAAGTTGATCATCTATTAAGTCCTGTCATCTCTATACCACCAACTTCTAGAATGCCACTCAAACGAAGGATTTAGAATGACAAAAAGATTTATAGAGGCTTTTAAATTGTCTACTTTAAGACAGTATTTCAAAAGATGTGATAAGAATAATCCATGCAAGATATATTTCATTTTGGAGCAAATTCTCAAACTTATATTAAGATTGAAATCGTTTTCGGCGTGATGTGTTAAAAGCATGGCAACTACATGTATTTCACAAAAACACATTATATTGACCCAAATAGCATCAAGGAAATCCTATCTCAACCATTATGTTTTTATCCCAATTTCTAAAATTCATCATACAAAGTGGTTGTAGTTTCTGATTATATCTATCTTCGTGTAGCTATAGTGAGTTAACTTTTTCAAAGAGTTTAAGAAGTTTAAGAACGATGTATTCCAATGGTCAGTTTTCCTACAAGGTTTTTCAGATTACGCGTCTGGATGTTTAGAGAGAATACAACACTTAGCGAGTAAACGGTTTCTTAACATTAGTAAAAAGGGCTCCGAATGTTTTAGCTATGGGCGAATATGGCAGATTCCCAGTTTAGTTGTCTTCCTCGTTGAGGTGTGTTAAATTTGAGCTTAGAGTCACTCGTATGCCTAGCCATAGGCATCCACGTAAAGCATGAGGTGCTGGATAATGTTGATCGCCATACACTGGCCTCTTTGGTTAAGCGAGTTTTATCTAGCTTCGGGGGTGGTTACGTTTTGGTGTTTCAAGGTGTTCGCAGTGTTTTTGTCAGAATTTAAGGAACGTGTTACTGATATCTTAACTCAGGAATTGAAATCAAGCTTGCAATGCAGTATTAGGTATGACTCTTATTCTTCATTTAAATTGAATTTACACCCGGAATTGTATTTAACGCATGGTGACTGTTCCTTATATTATCGCGATATGACGAACCTGCGTAATGTCATGGCCGAACTACAAGTTGAGCTTGGGCAATATTATAATGTAATAAGGACGCTGGAACTGTCAAAAGTGTGTAAGTTAGATATGATTGAGGATGTGTTTCTTTTTGTTATGATATGTCCAGCTTATGAAAGCCTAATATCTAAATATCTACCGTTTGTCTGTACATCCTACGGGGAGGTAGGGTAGCCTAGTGGTTAAAGTGTTCGCTCGTCAGGCCCAAGGCCCGGGTTCGATTCCCCATATGGGCACAATATGTGAAGCCCATTTCTGGTGTCCCCCGCGGTGATATTGCTGGAATATTGATGGAAGCGGCATAAAACTAAACTAACTCATTCACTCATGGATCACTGTACATCCTATAATATAAAAAGTTTAGTTTTACGCCGCACTCAGCAATATTCGAGCTATATGCATGGCGGCGGTCTGTAAATAATCGAGACCTGCGCAATTGGGAACCAGTGACATGTGTCAACCCAGTCAGCGAGCCTGACCACCCGATCCAGTCGCCTCTTACGATAAGCATGGGTTACTGAAGGTACATTCTAACCCGGACCATTACGGGTGATCAGCATAATGACATCTAATGACACAAATGGTATTATTAAGCTACAACTTTATGGTCATTATGCGTTGAGTCTGAGACGTAAAACTTTGTAAATTGCAAGTTCCAACCTGCTGCGTTTATCATCTGCATATGTGCATGAGGCCAGCATGCACCTTAGTAACAGTATGTACTGAGAGGCTATTTATTGTGTATATGATCGTCATTATAAGAAAACACTGATGTACAAGTAGTATTTTGGGATAATTTAAAAATGAGTCAACTTAAACTGTCTCGAAAGTGAAAGTCACATGCACTATGTACGTGCCGCATAACGAATATGTAGTCAGCATCAACAACGCTGGGTCACCTCATCAGCTACAGGTGACCCCAACGTTGTTGATGCTGATAACGTCACAAATCAACACACGCCACATGTTCAAAAAATATATACTAGGCACATAAAGAAACTGTGCATACAAAAATTTAAAATCTAAATTTATCAAACCTGTGTAGACACATAAGGATTTAAACTCAGAGATTAGTGACATGTATCCAACATGCATGCACGTGCCACGTTCCGTGACGTCAGCGGGTTCGTCCTTGAGACGTTTAATACGTTGTTGCACGTGCATTCCGGGAAAGAGAAACAGAGCAAATGAATGGCACACAATACCGTCACTTTGGAAAGCTCAACCCCTGCCCTTGCGATCGTTCAAAAATTAAACGGCTATTGAAACGCACAGCATGCCAAGGCTTACGTCTGCACAACGTCATGAGGCCATTGGGATGGTCCGTGGGGGAATGTCTCAACTACAAGTGGCTGCACATTTTCACTGCCACCGGAACACCCTTTCTGCACTGGTGAGACGCTGCCAGAACACAAATGACGTCATCGATCGGCCACGTTCTGGACGTCCACGTGTAACAATGCCAAGACAGGACAGATGAATAAGGGTGACCCATCTTCACCACAGGTTTCAGACTGCAATGATGACTGCCCGAACCATCCCAGGACTTCGCCGTATCCACCCCAACACAGTTCGACAACGTTTACGTCATCACGGGATCAGACCTCGGCCTATCCTGACACAACGTCATCGACAAGCTCGCCGAATGTGGTGCCGAAATCATGTCCGCAGACCCTTGTTTTGGTGGTGAAATGATGTTTTTACAGATGAGTCCAGGTTTAACATTTCCATTATTGATGGACGTCAACGTGCCTATAGACGCGTGGGAGAATGTTGTGCACAGGTCTGTGTCTTGGAGAGGAATCGCTTTGGTGGTGGTTCCGTGATGATTTGGGGTGGACTAAAAGCACGCCAAAGAACTCCTTTGGTGATTGTCTGGGCAACTTAACTGGTGTCGGCTGCAGGGATCAGATTCTTCGACCTGTGGCAATTCCTTTTCTGCAACGTCATGGCCCTGGGTTAACATTCCAGCAAGGCAATGCCCGCCCCCATACGGCAAGGGTTGCTATGGATTCCTTGCAACACCACAACGTTGACTTACTGCCTTGGCCTGCAAATTCACCGGATCTCTCCCCGATAGAGCATGTTTGGAACGAGATGGATCGACGTCTGCGCCGTCTTCCTCATCCGCCAGATAACGTCCTTGACCTTGCAACAGAACTTGAGAGAATCTGGCATGACATCCCACAAGCCTTCCTTGCACGTTTGATAGGCTCTATGCGTCGTCGATGCACTGCTGTTCTCAATGCCGATGGTGCTTATTATTGAGCTTGTGACATGGTCGTTTGACCCCTGTCCCGCTTGTGGACTCGTGACGTCATTGTGATTGACTTTTCAATTGAAATTCTCCCGACTTGTTATGGTCTCATCATCCCTCCATTAAAGTTTATATGTACATTTGACATTGTTATCGTACTTATCAACTGGGATAATATTTTGACAATGCACAGTTTCTTTATTTGGCTAGTATACTTGTGATTTCATATTATCATTATGAAAGACAATTGAAACCCATCATTATACTTTATTGAATAAAGAAAGACGTTTATAACATGCTCAAACAGTAATTATTACTGTTGTTCTCCAAACAGCCTCGCCAAGCAAGGTGAGAATATGCACGACATGCTTTCATCCTTTTAGAAAACAATGGCAAAGACACAACATAGAAAGTGATCATCATTGTCTGTTTGTTGTAGAGGGGGTAAATAGACGTAGAAAGACGGCCATTATTTATGATGCACCTGGTCTATCGTTCAAGCACCTGTGTCTTTACTTTGAGTCCAAATTGACCTCATTACGCAGGTGTGCATGATTCTGTGGCTATGATGTCCATGATGATGTGTCTGTGTAACTGGCAACTGTGACGGTTGGGGAAATCATACCCAGTAAAGCTTCTAAAAGAAGAGTAGTCTCATCTTATGCTCGTGACTCTACTGATTCTGTTGGCTTTTTACCTCAAAGATGGAAAATGGAAGCAGTTCTCATGATATTCTCAGGAAGAATCACTCAAAAAATCATCAAGTAAACAGTCCATGTAAATTTAACCTTACCACTTTTTAGTCGTAGAATATGTGTGTTTTAATGTATGGCAATATTTTCCTAAAAACGCCAGCGACTAAAGGGATGGCGTAGATCCAACTAGGATCCATGCAGGTAGCAAAATCACTGTAAGTCCCCATGGTCCCGTGTATGGCGATCTAGCTTGAGTTGTTGGCGACCTATAGCCTGTTTTTAAATATTGTAACGTCTTCCGGAATTTACATGCTAGTTTTAGACACCATCTGTGATACTCTAGTTATTTTGCAGTCCTTCGATGACTGATTCGTTAACAACTTAGGTTTTTTGTGTATGGAAAACCTTTCTCGCCACTGTATGGCTGACATATTGCCAAGGTGACATTAAATTGTAACTCAGTCACTCACTTGAGACTCCTGATCCTACTGACAAAAATCTAACATAGTTACATGATCCACGTTGTCATCTTGACATGGGAGGTGATGCATGCGGACACCAAGACCTGGGTATCGACGGTATCCCTCCTCTGATAAACCTCAACCAAGGTTCCAAGCCCGGTTCAATTCCTTTCAGTCTTGGCCTCTGCAGATGAAACATGTCTTAGTCACATGGCCCATGCAGGATCTGTGTACAGAGGGGATGCTTGCAAGTGTTCTCGATCTCTCAATGTGGTCTCGTACTCAAGAACTGGGAAGTAGATGATAATCCCTTGGTGGAACATGAAAATGGTCCCAGATTGTCCATATTTGGCCCTAGTGGTAGTACCTCACAAAGGTGTGGCCCGCTGGGGTAATCATGTAGAATTATTGCAAATGGCTAGGTACGTGTTGAAACATTACAAGCTTTTAAGGTTCATGTTAATGTTTGAAGACGTTGAGGAGATTCGACATGACATCTTAGAAATGAACAGAGGATAAATTCTTGCCACCAATGGTAATTATAGACAGATTATTAAAGGGAAGATAATTAGTGACGTGATATTACAGACATCGTTTCCTGAGGACCCATGATAGAAATACCTCTCTAGCAGTCTTACGAAGATTCTTTCACCCTCTATGGACTACACGTGATATTTGGATTAGTCTTTTCGCCAGTTACATGCCTATCGTAGCATACGTTTTGAAACCACAGTTTGTCAAAGCGCATAGAGATGCAGCAACAGCCCGTACCAAATAGTCTCTTTGCACACCGTCTAAACCAGCTGCAACCACATTCATCAGAACTTGCTATCCAGTCTTTGGAAGAATTTAGGCTTCCACATCCCATCTTTATGATCGTCTCCAACATTCTGTGGGAAAACCTTCTTAGTGAAGCAGATTCTAGAAAGGATGAACATAAAACCTTATCGTGAACGTATTATACAAAAGATGGCATCCACCGTACAGCCCTATTTAAACCTGTGTCTGTTTATCCCATTCCATCAAGGCATTCCTTCTGACCTCGTAAAGGATGAGTTTCTGAACCCAAGTGTTGTGAACGTCGTTGTCCTTGACGACTTAATGTCAAAAGCCAGCAAAGATCCACGCATTACAGATCTCTTTACTGAAGAAGTCATCATCGTAATTTCTCAGTGATAGCCTTGAACCAGAATTTGTATTACAGCAAAAAACCTACTAAAAGAAGAAACTGTCATTATCTGCTTCTGTTCAATTAAGACATCCATGATTTGCAAAAATACAGAAGAAACTGGTGTGCCGAAAAGTCCTCAGTCGGTCCACCGGCGATACCCCAAGTGGGTGTGAAAAGGAAGTGGGAAAAAGACAACCTTTCTGCAGTGAAGACACCACGTCAACTGGCGGACTGCGACTTCTGTGATCAGGTGTTTAGCAAAAAACATAACTTACAAAGGCATTTGCACAATAACAATGTCCTGAAATGGAAAATGATGATGACTTTTTAAGTGATGTCACAGATGGCAGTGTGAGTGCTCAGTTACAAAACCCATTCAATTGTCCAGTGAAATTCCCTGAACCGTGGAGTACCTGGCTTGCAGTGTTTTTGTAAATAAGAGTGAGTGAGTGGGTAAAGGTTTACGCCATACTCAGCAATATTTCAGCTATATGGTGGCGGTCTGTAAATAATCGAGTAAATAATCGAATAATCCAGGGATCAACAGCATGAACATCGATCTGCGCAACTGGGATACACTGACATGTGTCAACCCAGTCAGCGAGCCTGACCACCCGATCCCGTTAGTCGCCTCTTACGACAAGCATCGGCCACTGAAGATCAAATCTAACCCAGACCTTCATGTATTCGTGATAGAATGATACAGCACTATTTATACACTACACACCAAGAACTATTGTATGCAATAATTACTGCATAATACACATTCTATTGTGTTTTGTTGTTTCTCCAAATACTGCAGGAAGAAAGATTTTACTAGAACTGATGTGATGTGATGTCACAGGTTCTAGAATAGTCTTCACTTCTGCATAATGAGGTCATGCACCTGCATAATGAGGTCACACACCTACATAATGAGGTCAATCTGGACCCAAAAGTAACACGTCACACACCTACATAATGAGGTGATACCTTCCAGAATATTCTTTACCAGTGTAATGAAGGTCACCTGCTTGCGAAATGAGGTCATACTTTCTTGACTATTCTTTACCGTTGTGATGAGGTTAATGATCTATTTGTAACTTACCTGAGAAGTAACACAGGTGTTTGAACAACAGACCAGGTGCATGGCGTCTTTTGTCTTCTATTTACCCCCCTGTACAACATCTGTTACATTGCTCGTCATACAAGACAAGTAATCATCATTGCCTGTTACACTGATCGTCACTCCAGACAAGCATCATTTTCTGTAACATTGCTTGTCATACAAGATATACTATATACTATCCTTCACGTCTGCTACAAAACAAAGACGACACAATCATAACATAAGATCGTTAGCCATATAAGACACGATACCTTTCACCACTTCCACAATATATCGATATCATATCAATAGTACCTGCATGTCTCGAAACGTGCAATCATAAACTGCATGGTATTCTTCAATTCAATTTCAATGTTAACTGCTCATCATACAAGACTACAA